GATAACTAAGAAGTCAGCGAGCGGAAGACTTATTGTGTGCTTTCGAGACTTAGTGAGTGCTGTAGTACAGTTATATTTGGAGTGTGTAATTCAGGGAGACTTGTATAGCTCCCGCCTTATTAATACGTGGAGACTCTTGAATATAGTGTTAAGAGATTTTGTTGTAGGGTTTGTAAAGTGTGGAAACCCGTAACATTGTTATCATTAATTGTAGCCGATACTTGTAGATTGTTAAATAAACCAATTAACCATCTCTACGGCATCTTCAGTAGCGAAACACGTTACAATATATAGACCGTAAAAAAACACACAAACTTTAATTGTTGCAAGTAAGTAGGTTGGTCTAGAAGTAACCACAGAGAAAACTAAGTATATGTTGCTGTCTCATCAGCAGAATGCCAGGCAAAATTATGACATAAAGACAGGAAACAGATGTGGCACAGTTCAGATATTTGGGAACGACAATAACAAATCAAAACCTGATTAAGGAGGAAATTGAGAGGCAATTGAACTCAGGTAATGCTTGCTACCATTCATTCCAGAATCTTTTGTCTTTTCATCTTCTGTCCAAAAACATAAAGATTAGAATATACAAAACTATAATTTTGCCTGTTGTTCTGTATGTGTGTGAAACTTGGTCTCTGACATTAAGGGAGGAACATAGACTGAGGGTGTTGAGACCGAAGAGAGATGAAGCGACAGGAGGTTTGAGAAAACTGCATAATGAGGAGCTTTATAACTTGTACTCTTCTCCAAAGTATAAGAATGATCAAGTCAAGGAGGATGAGTTGGGCAGGGCATGTAACACGAATATGGGAGACAAGGAATGCATATAGGATATTGGTGAGAAAGCCAGAAGGAAGGAGACCAGTGGGAAGACCAAGGTGTAGGTGGGTGGACAATATTAAAATTGATCTTAGAGAGATAAGATGGGATGGTATGGATTGGATTGGTGTGGCTCAGGATAGGGACCAGTGGAGGGCTCTTGTGAACACAGTAATGAACCTTCGTGTTCCATAAAATGCTGGGAAATTCTTGAGTAGCTGCAAATTTGGTGGCTCCTCAAGAAGGGCTCAGCTCCATAAATAAGTAAGTATTTTAATGTACTTGTCATTCTGTTGTTTCTGGAGATTTTAAGGTGTGGTTCAGTGTGGCGTGCGACTACAATATTGATGAGTCCTGTTACTTTGGTAACATGTGTTTCATTGGTGTAGGTGTACCTGGGGATCCTTCCATCTCAAAAATGTGTGGCTGTTAAAAGATTGCACACGGATGCCGTAAATGTGGAGAAGCAGTTCCAAAACGAGATAGAGTCACTGTCGAGGTAGGCAAACTGAAGTTTTTGGATGAGTTTCACAATCTAGAATCTAGTTAATGTTTGGTTTTAATATTTTTTTTTATAAGAATGAACAAGTCGACTCATACTGGAGTAGTCTTGGTCATGACACTGTTTAGTCTGGTAGGTGGGTACCAACACATCAGAGAAACATAACTGTCTGCATCCTCTGTCCTGAACATGGAGATATGTTCCTCTGAAATGGTGATACCCACACAAACCAGGCTCTGCAGTCACAATGGTGGAGCCAGAAGAGATGGCTATTGATAGGCAATGGCAAAGTAAACAACTCTTCACAGTAATGAATGTACGCACAAAAATTGAGGAACTGTTGGGTCACTGCTAGGTAACATGGTATATCTATATGGCCCATGCCAAGGCTATATAGTGGGGACTTGTGTTGTTATCACTGTTATTTTGGCACAGTTTTGTAATGAGATCTCAGTCCCATATACTGCATGTAGTGCTGGAGGTTCATGTGGCTGTCATCTTCATGACAAATATAACTTTTAACACATTGCGGACCGGTGGTTTAAACATTTAAATCACCCTGGGGACCGGCGTTTTTAAACCTACTACCCTAACTTGTGCACTGTTCACTTTAAAAATTAATATAAAATCTCCTAATTAATTTTATGAACTGAAATTTTTGGAGAACACTTACCAGAGCTCCTAGAAGTGCTTGCTCGTGTGATATCTCTGGAAACATTCCCCTTTGTGAAGAGGCATTACGCAGAAGTTGCACATGTAGGCAGTTCTACTCTTCTTCTTGTGCTCTGCACACACACGGCACTGCCTAGAAGGGTGTTTCTTCTTGCAATATTCACTCTTCACAATTTTCATGAGAATATGTTTCCGCATATCACCCGAGAGTCGGCCAGGGGGGTCTACTTGAGGCCTCTGGCGGGTGCGAACAGATGGCCCCGGCTGCACTACGTCTGTGTCTGACGCAGGTACTGCCGCCACCGTGACGTCAGTAGCCCAAGCTTTTGCCAGTTTCAACAGAAATGCTTTGTATTTCAAAGTAGAATTTCTGCTCACCTTTTTGAAAACCGTAAATGAATTGAAAATTGCACAGTTTATAAGCCACAGTGCAACTTTCTTCGTCCATTTTACTGTTTTCCTAGGAAGGGAATATTAGGCCATGAACTGGTCGGCCCTATCAACTCCTTTCATGAACATATTATACTCAGAAATACAAAGAGGCTTCTTTACTTGCCCGTGTCGTCTTTGAACATCGACCATGCTCGAATTGTGAATAGTGGAAACTATATTCACAACGCGAGTATCCCTCCAGGACTGAAGCGGAATGTCCCCCTTCCGTCAAAGAAACTATCTCCAAAAAAACAGTGACGCAACTTCAGACACATCCGTTGGGTTCGATGGCATCTGCTTCACCCCCGGATCACCAGTAAACTTTCCCAAAGTGGGGGTTTTGTCCACTTTATCCCATCTAGCTGTCTCGACACTCGCACTTTCAATGGAGCTCTCACTTTCACTTGACACATTTTGGGCAGCCCTGTGGCCCCCGTCACTGTCACTGATAATGGCCTCGCTATCAGAAGACGAAGCAGTTGGCAAATCTGTTAGCTCATCGGAGAACATATCTAATATTTCCTGTCCTCCGAGAGATTGCAACTGCTTTCGTCTCTGAGCCATGTTGAACTGGTAGCTGTGTGGTTCATACGTGCAAGCTTGGATTAGAACAAAGCCAATTTTGTTTAGGTTGTGACAGGAAATGACTCTGATCGAGTTACTAGATAAGGCAGCAATCATTCCCGAGGTCATCCATGCAGTAGTTACGATTCAACAAAGCCACACAGCACTGATATATTGGGTTTTTGGACTTTATCCATCATCCTGGTTTTTAAGATAACTAATAAAAACACGACGTTTTGGAAACTGGATCTGTTTCCGTCCTCACGTGAAGGAAAACACCTATTCTGTTGGGTCCGTTAGAAAGAGCTAGCCTCAATCACCTGAGGACGGAAACAGATCCAGTTTCCGAAACATTGTGTTTTTATTAGTTATCTTAAAAACCAGGATGATGGATAAAGTCCATGGATATTAGTGTGTTATACACCATCGTCAGAATCCTATAGTAACTACCCACACAGTGATATATAGCGTTTTGCAACATAATGTGACCGTAGAGGGCCATATGGCCCGACTGGTCCGCAACGCTTGGAAACATAGAGGGCCATATGGCCCATCCGGTCCGTAATGTGTTAAAGGTTCCAGGTTCAGAAACTGGTAACATGCTGCAGACTTTAACTAGCAAGGACAGCTTCGCATTTGAGGCTTTTTAATTGGACTTCATCCAGTGTTGGATAATCAGAGCAGCTGGGGTTGGGGGTTGGCAGCATTCAGTATCAGTGTGACTTTGTTTCCCACTTTGGTATCTCATGGAAATGTTTCTAGGAGTTGGGATAGCTCAGTCGGTATAGTGATGGGCTGCATGCTGAATGCCCTGTGTTCGATTCCCAGCAGTGCAAGATTTTTTCTCCACAGCATTCCAGACTGATTCTGGGGCCCACCAAGCCCCCTATCCAATGAGTACTTGGGGTTATTTCCACAGGAGTGAAACAGCAAAGGCATGAAGCTGACCACTAACCTCTATCTAGTGCTGAGGTCAAGAAAGGTGGAGCTATACCTCCACTTTCCCACATGTCTTAACTAATTAAGTATTGGTACAACTTTACCTTACCTTACCCTACCTTATGGAAATGGGTCTGGATTTCACATCGTTGGACCATATTATTCCATTCATATACAGGGTGTCCCAGGAGGAATGGACCAAACTTCGGGAGGGTGTTCCTTATGTTAAAGTATGCCGATATAACCCAAAACACCTATGTCCAAAGTTGAACGGTTACGGAGATAATGGCCAGAGAAGTGTCAAACATTGACCGGCATTGCNGTGGCTGGCTGCGTGTTCTGATAAAGCCAACTACATACGTACGGCTAGGGTGAATCACGGCACTCAAGGACAAACATAGATAAGGCCTCTCAGCTGAGAGGTACAGTGCATGGACCTGCCAGAAGACCACACTTTTCTTGGGCCATTATCTCCGTAACCGTTCAACTTTGGACATAGGTGTTTTGGGTTATATTGGCATACTTTAACATAAGGAACACCCTCCTGAAGTTTGGTCCATTCCTCCTGGGACACCCTGTATATAATGCTGTGTGGATCATATTATTCCATTCATATATAAAATGCTGTGTGGATATTTTATGCAGAAGATCTAACATTATGCTTGTCTGCATCTTAACCATTATTGACTGGGTAGATGAGTCAGTGTGGTGATTAGATTATGAGGCTGTACGGCCAGAAAATTGGGGTTTGATAACCCCAAAACTGCTTCCAGACAGCCTCATATCCAGTGAGTATCAGGGGCTCTTTCTCCAGGAATGTAGCAGTCACAGCATGGAGCTGATTACTCACATGGATGTAATGCAAGAGCCTGCAGCTGTGTGTGTCCTCACAACAAAACTGAGGCCCGTAGCCATTGGGCTTCCCATCCGTGAACAGTTGCTCATCACTAGATATTAAAACTGCATTTCTTCATCATCAGGTTCAGACATAATAACCTGTTGGGACTGCTCGCCTACTCATGCGATAGTTCCACTCGCTGTCTTGTGTATGAGTACATGAGGAATGGGTCCCTACAGGACAGACTTGCGTGCAAGGTAAGTTCAAGCTGCAGATCTCTTTAGTCATTGCACAGTAAGTGCCTCTATGGTGCTTGAGGAGATAAAGTTATGCAACTGCTGAGCCTCTTGAACCCATCTATGGCTCCATTTTGATTATCATCACATCTGTCCCTAGGCATTCCAGGTTGTCTCTTTGCTTCATGTTTTCTGATTAAAATTAATTTTGTACAGGCTTTTGATCTTCGTGACATGTGCCGTATCCCTACCCATCTCATGCTCTGTTAATGTCTTCACCCAGTAATCTAATTGCATGCTTCAGTTGATTTTGCTGTTACTTTATGAACACATTAATGTCTTTGAATCCTCAAATATTCTGTGTTTTTTAAAACTGAAGTCATCTAATGTTTTAACTACAGTGCGTACAATCAAGTGCGCGCCGTGGCTGCAATTTGCCGTGACTCATACCACCGCAGAACGGATGCAACTCCTCCCCGCAACTGCAGTGCTCCTACGCCGATGGTTGCATAATCGGAACCCGAGGTTGCATTAAACAGTCAGTCTTTGTCTTGCTGTGGAAGTGGAGTGGAATGTTTACAGCTGTCGACAGACGGTGGAAATGAAGTTCACTATTAAACAGCGTGTGTTTATTGTCGAAACTATTGCAAGGAAAAACATTTACAGAAAATTCGCACGTAGGTTTCGTCAGAAATATCCTGACTCGCCAGTTCCCACAAAGTCGTGTGTAAACAGGCTTCTGAAAAAGTGGCGGGCCACAGGTTCAGTGAGTGACAAGAAGAAGCAATCGAAGAGAACTGTGCTGACTGAAGAAAAGGTTAAGGATATTCAGGCAAGATTACAGATCAGTCCTCGAAAATCGTTAAGACGCTTAGCACAGGAAACTGGTGTTTCGCTAG